TAAGACGGGTGGCTGAGATCTCGGAAATGATAACAAAACAGATGGGACCGACAGTCATTTGATAAACGAAGGTCCAGATGTCCATCAGCGTGGCAGTAGCCCATATAGCACCAGTGGTGCTCGAGATACTGAGGAAACCGATGATGAATAGGAGAGTCGTCATGACCATCATACCCGCATTATAGATCGTGCGTCGACCAAGTTTGAACTATGTAATTCATGAGCTGATGCGTTGATGGATTATGGAGATAGGACTAGCGATGATACGTACCCAGTTCAGTAGGAACCACGAGAGAACCGTGCCAGTAAAGCCCAAAGCGGTGTTACCAACACCCACTAGAGTACCAAGTCAGCATGTTTGTAGTTTTCGGCTTTTGAAACACGTACTGTTGAAAGCATCAGAGGGATCCAGGCCAGCTTTTTGGAAGAAGTATGTTGCATATCCAATGAGCGGATTGCCACCAATGACCTGGATCAGGTAAACCATAACTGAGATCTCGGTGCGAACCAAATTCGCACTCTTGAAGCACTCTAACCACGATGTGGACGACTCGATTTCTTGCTCCAGAAGATCTGTCTGTTCGATTCCCACAAGAGCCTTGTCGATATCGGGTCTGTTGGTGGGTGAGGACAGGCCTATGAGCGCGGCGTGTGCTGCCTCACGTCGGCCTTTGCGAACCAGCCAGTACGGACTTTCGGGGGCAAAGGGTAGACCAGCGAGAAGGATGGTGGGCCAGACCCATTGGATCGCAAAGGGGATCTTGTACGCCCACTCGTCCATACGGGTCTCTACACCAGCCGCGCAGCCTTGGGCAATGAATTGGCCGATCACAAACGCCATGTTGATCGATGTGGTGAGGAAACCTCTCAGAGCCAGTGGGCACACTTCTGAGGCGTATGTTGGGGCAATGACGACGTAGAATCCATAAGCCAAGCCGCCGAGAATCTCGCCCGCACAAAGCATGCCAATGCTTGTGGAGAAGAACTGCACAAACACCAAGGCGATGGACCAGGCGCAGCAAATAGCCAATGTCTTCTTTCGACCAAACATCTCGAGAGGATAACTACTGGCAAGTGCTCCAAGAACCTGGCCAATTGGATTCCCCATTCCCAGAGCTGTCTGCCAGGGCGCAGAAATTTCATAGCCGTCGCCGCCATGAACTCGCTCGCCATATTTTGTTTGGAATGCGGGTAGGGCATAGAAAGAAGTGATGATCTGGGCATCAAAACCAGCCATTATAACGGCGATGCCGAAGAAAAGAGCCCAGAAGACGGCCCATGGATACTGGCGAACAGCCTCGCGGAAGCCAAGGTTGTGCTCTTCGACGGTGAGGTCGCGGGTGGCATCGATCTCAAGAAGCTCAGATCTCTTCAAGTCTGCCACGTCATGGTTATCTTTATGGGCTTCTCTGTCTAGGCTTGCCATTTTTGAAGATGTAGTATAATGGAGATAGTGGGGGGTCTGGCAGTGGCAAAGGGAAGTGATCCGCCTATAATGGCGAAGAACGGTGTTTAAGTAACTATTGGAGATCTGGAGACCAGTAGGTATCTGTTTAGCCTTATCACCGGTTCTGCGCGGAACAGCCTAGGAATATCGATACCGGTAGGACCCCGCAGACATGCGTGCACACGCGATAGCATCTCATTTCCCTATCGATAAAATGTAACACGCCAATGCAACGTTTCTTGGCCCCTTACGATAAGTAGGTAGTCAATAGCTACAGAAGGATCGCACTAAAATGCGGGGAAAGATAGCGGACAGGGTCTGCTGGCATTCGCACCGACCGTTTGCCGGCTATTGTGCCTGGACCCGGTTAGTTGGGCCTTGTTCAGATATCATCCATAAATGTGCAAGACTCCTTCTCGTTCATTGATAATCCCTATCGTGACGCTAGTCGGCAGAACAAGACAACCCAGCTCACCTAATCGACCCCTCTTGGACTACAGCCTCCAGGTACAACACAAGATGGTTGCAATCGGCTCTCTCTCCGGACCTCTATTCTCACCGGACCTGATTGGAACTGATGTTGTAACATCATTCCCTGAAGGTTACGTTATCCGGCCTTTGGAACGAGGGGATTATGCAAAGGGATTCCTTGACTGCCTCGGTGTACTGTCTGATGTAGGGGACGTGTCCCAGGATCGCTTCGAGGAGAGGTTCGATTGGATGAAGACACAGGGCCAAGGGGTACATTACCACGTGGCTATTGAGCATGAGAACCGAGTTGTCGGGACGGGTGCCATTATCGTAGAGAGAAAGTTGTAAGTCTTCCAATTGGTTGAGAAGGTGTCGACACTGCCTTGATGCTAACCTCGTTTCGGCAGTATTCACAATCTTGGGTCAATTGGACATATCGAGGAAATTGCGATCAGGAAAGACTTTCAAGGCAAAGGTCTTGGTCTGAAGTTACTAGCCAGTCTGTCGTCTATTGCTAAGAATGTCGGGTGCTACAAGACGACTCTGGGGACCAGTCCGGACAACGAACCGTTCTATGTCAAATGTGGCTACAACAGGTCGGGCAACATCATGAACCAGTACTTCGAAGAGCCCAAGGATCCGTATTATCGGGGATAAGCCCGAGAAACCATCATTGTCAATAGTATAGTCGTAGCTACTCTGAAATGATATTGATGATGATCTTGACTCAAACGAGCTAGCCACCGGCCTTTTCCCGATGTTTGCCGGTTCCCCCATCTATCGTCCCACCGACTTGAGGTTTAATCGCTTGCAAATTGATAAGAGCCTATTGGGCCTTGATTAGTTTCTCAAACGTTGCATTCTCCATATCTGCAAATCATTAATGCGGGGAAAGCTGTTATCTGGTGTATGAATGGCTGTAGCGTAGCTACAATGTAACAAGCTACCAGCCGAGTAGCCGTAGTTACGTATTAATAAGTGAACCCTTGCTAACGAAGCATCTTGACATGATTAAAGATAGCTTTCAATCAGTAAGAAAGCAATTGCCTGCAATCCAAAGTATCTCGGTATCTGTCTGCTAGTTCACCATGGCACCCCATGCTGAAACGGATGAGTCTGCCCATGGCATCACTCGCCTCCCACCACCAGAGCGTCCCACCTTTTCCGCCTCGCCTCCACGTCTACTGATCATCGGCGCTGGGAACCGTGGCAAGGCTTATGCAGAAGCTGTCAAAAGTTCAAGTAATGGCATCATCGTGGGCGTCGTAGAGCCTATCGCGCAGAAGAGACGGCATTTCGGTCGCAAATACATCTGGGGTACACGGGAGCCAACTCCCGGGGAGGAGTTCCGCGACTGGCCAGAGTTTGTTCAATGGGAGCTAAGCCGGCGGCAAGCAGTCGCTTCTGGGTCTACAGATGTCCCCGAGGGCGTTGATGCAGTCTTTATTTGCGTCCAAGATGGCATGCATAAGGACGTCGTCCTTGGCCTTGCGCCGCTGAAACTACACATCATGTGCGAGAAACCTCTAGCCCCCAATCTGGAAGATTGTATGGCTATCTATAAGAGCCTGATGCCTGATGCCTCCGGCTCCTTAGAAAAGCTGTTCGCTATCGGCCATGTCCTCCGCTACAGTCCTCATAACATGATGATGAGGAAGCTTTTGCTTGAGGACAAGGTCATCGGAGACATCATGGCTGTTAATCACACTGAGCCAGTGGGCTGGTATCACTTCACGCACAGTTACGTGAGGTAAGTTTTAACTGAGGGCTTTGCACAAGCAGTAAAGACTAATCCTGTGCTAGAGGAAACTGGCGCAACGAAAAAGCGGCAGCTCCATCACTCCTTGCCAAGTCGTGCCACGACATAGACATCCTCTACTGGATTTTGGCGGCCCCGCCTCCCGGCTCTGACAAGCCAACCCATGTCCCCAAAGACATAAGCTCTTCTGGATCCCTCCAATATTTCAGAAAGGAGAGAAAGCCTGCCGAAGCTGGAAACGCCACCAATTGCTTGTCATGTGCCTACGAGCCATCGTGCCAGTTTTCGGCCAAGCGGATTTACACAGGAGATGATCTCAAGAGTCAGCAACAAGAACACTTTTGCACTGTCGTCGCGCCGGAAATTGAAGACTGTATTCCAAATGGTGGGCCAGAAGCAGCTAAGAAAGCGATTCTCTCCAAACTTGCTGAAGATTACTCAGAGGACACGCCAGCAGATGAGATTAGCAAGAGAAACACCTTTGGACGTTGTGTGTACGAATGTGACAACGATGTCTGCGATAACCAAGTTGTGACACTTTCTTGGGACGCGGACCCGATCGCAGCCCCGGGCGAGACACCTCTGCAGGCTCTTAGTGGCAGAGGTACCAAGACAGCTACATTGCATATGGTTGCGTTCACAGAAAAGATCTGTACCCGGTTCACACACATATACGGTGTCCACGGAGAGATGTACGCCGACAGTTCCTCAATTACAGTTACAGACTTCAGGACGTGCAAGAAGACTGTTCACTACCCACACATTCCCGAGGGTGGTGGCCATGGTGATGGAGACGAAGGATTGACAAGGCAGTTCGTGCTGGCCGTTGACCGGGTAAAGAACCATGGTGAGAAGGTGTCAACGGCTCAGCGAGAGTACATCAAGTGCAATTTGAGGGATGTGATTATGAGCCATAGTATGGTATTCGCTGCTGAGGAGGCAAGGAAGGGAAAGAAAGTTATAGATTTTCCTAAGTGGTTTGAGAAGGAGGTCATGATAAAGCTAGGCGCGTAAATAATTCGAGTATAGCCGTGGGGCGAGGGCAATCCATATCTCGTTCCTCTATCCTCTGTGACTTCCTGACATTGTCGAGATGTGCAGTCGTGCTTTGTTGAAGTTTGAACGCATCGTCATGGTTTCAGCATATCAAGGCGATCTAACATGAAGTAAAGAAAGGGTATCGTTTGTGCTCTATCGATGCTTACAATTGCTCCTTGCGCCTCACTCAGTTATGTTTGCTACTTGTATCCCACCACCTTTATGAGGTGACTTTGAGACCAGCTGCCTATCAAACTCTAAGGCATTGCTGTTAACCGGGTCTGCCTATCTTTCGTGCTTAACATATCCTCGACCGCTAGACAAATAGCGCGATAATTCCAAATGGGCTGCGCCTAACACAACCTGTGTTGCAGGTTCCATGGGCGGATAGACCTTGTTTCGGAGGTCGGCGGGTAGTTTCGACTTGATTTCCCGTAGCAAGTATTCCGATGTACAGTATTCTCCTGCAAGTACAATTCCCTATCGAACATTAGCACGTCGGTAGGTACAAGTGCCTGAACATACCTCAAGAACATTGCCAGTTGTGAAAACTTCACCTATTGCATGAGCCATCATGGTCGTAATTCCATCTATAACAGGCTGGAAACACGACAAGATTTCGTCATTTGTATAAGTCATAAAGCCATTCTTGATCCCTGCATCAGGGAATTCTGCTTCAACTGCAACATCGATATCCCATTCTTGTCCGTTGTTTCTGAATTCTGACAAGATGCGGTCCTCAAAATCATCGATACACTTTCCAAAGACCCTTCTAGCTAACCTCGAGCTATCTGGAAGTCGCATGCGCTTGATCTTGGTCCGCGCCATTTGAGCAAACCTGTGTGCTATAAGAGCAGGCCTAGGAACAGTCAGATCGTGTTGTGAAGAAACGAAAAGAACTCACCCCTGGTTCTCATTTGACACAAGCCTAGAAACAAAGTGATGTGGTGCTACTGGAAGCGTACACACGGACACGTGTGCTATCTCCTTCCCAAAGCTCGCAAATATATAGGTTTCTTGGATGAGGGAATATCTCATTATCGCGTGGTTTATTGACGCCTCTGCCTCGCCAATGAATGACAAGCGTGTATCATTTTCGTCTCTCAGATAGCCAGCTCTTTGGAGAGCACGTTTCCATAAATCTTTGTTCCTTTTTGCCCAGATCTCTGACAAGGTGACAATCCAATGGATTGTCTGCTCGTTGTCCAAGAATTTCCTTCCTAGACGCTGCTGCAATTGGGTACGAAGGGCACGCCTGACCTCAAAGAGAAAATCGGCTGAGACATCTACAGCGTTGAGGCCTGGAGGAACGGCTGGTAGTGGAGTCGAATCTTCCTTCTCTTGAGCCAAGAGCAGAGGTAGACCTTCAACCTTCTGGATACCTGGTTTCAAATCTCCAGTCGGCGCAATGGCATCAGCAATGTCACAGCCCCACCCAGCTACCTTATTGTACTGATCGTAGTAAATGACAGTTGGAATCTAAGAAATTAGATACTATTCAGTGAGTCTCTAATGGATGACTTGCCGATGATCTGCTATAAGAGCCAGTACCAGGCCACTCTGTGAGCAGCTCTGATATCGGGCTCTTAAGGTCGTTGACTACATATGCAACACTGGTACTCGCACCGTCTATGTTCATGAAGTCGATTGACACAAATATCTGATATTGGGGCTCAGGCTTAGGCACAGGTGCCGTGCCATAGGGCGACAGTGGTGGGGGCGATTGGTAACCTTGAGGTTCGTAATTGTTGGCACCTAGCGAAGGCTGTATATATGCTCTCGTTGAATGGGGAGGTGGTAGTAGTGAAGATGCCACATATGACAGATCGGTGCTTCTTCTGGATTGCTCTGTTTGTCGCTGTTGATAGTATTGCCCCATGCTTAGGGGGCGATTCATTGTAGATGAGTTCAGGTCTGGGGGTCCAATAGCCTTTCGAGAGAGAGCAGGGTTTGAAGATGACTCTCCGTTTGATCTTGTTTGCCTATCCTGTGTCGCATGTTGGACCATACCTTGATGACTACTCGGTGTTGGCGGACTTGTGTACTGAGAGCCCAAGGTTTTGGGATACTGGAATCCACCTGCAGATGGGACTGGGCCAGAAGCTGCCGTAGCGTATGGTTGGCTGGGAGGATACTCTTGCTGAAAGGCCGATGGCTGTTGGGTTTTTGTGATCATGTCACTGTCGTTACTTGATCTACCCAAGCTACCAACTGAGCGCTCCAGATAAGTCAACGCTTCAGGATCAATCGCAATAGTCTCGTAGTTCGGGATAAAGCTTCGGTGGACCTCTGCTTCCGCAGTCCTGTTTCTCGCTTTGCAGATGAACACAAGCAGAGTGAGGGTCTCCCAGCAGCTCAGATTATCTTTGCCGAGAACTTTTCTCTTGCCCCAGAGAGCACGCTTGCAATACCTTTCAGCTTCCTCAAGTTTGGAGTCGTCCACATAAGCAAGAGCCAAGGCATGCATTCCGTGATACACGAGTATATCGTTTGTCTTTCTCTCAAACGCGATTGGGGAGATAATTTCGTCTGCTTCTGTCCACTTTTCTTGCCGCATGCATACATATGCCAGTCGTATCTTTATAGCAGTGATGTCGCTTACTGGCCTCGAACTCGATTCACCGTGCTCGATGGCACCTCTGTAGAATTGTTCTGCCTTTGCGTGATCCCCGTCCACCTCGTTCTTGATCGCTAGTTCTTCGAATCTTCTGGCAAACTCAGTCTCACTGTCCGAGTCAGCGTCAAGAGGGGAATGCGGCTCTTCATTGACTGGCGGAGGTATCCATCTCTCGATCAGTGATGTTTGTGCTTCCGTTAAAGGGTCGCCCATAATACTTCCTCCCCAGACAGTGGACCGGGGGCCTTCTCTCAGAATCGTACTGGCGCTCGAATGGAAGTTCTCTGCTACTTGAACAAACTGTCGGAGATTTTGGGTAGCGCGATCATCCTCTTCACGTCCACTGGAAGGACCGGGGCTTGCAGAGCTACTTGTATGTAAAGCAACCTCGACATTTCTCAGCTGGGACTTGAGCCCTGAGAGGACCTTGAACACAGAATCTTGAGAGGAGTTGCTATGAATTAGCAGGCAGCTATCCACGTTAGTAATCACCCGAAACCGCGAATATCATGACTGACATATTGAGCATCTGAAAGGCACTTGTCATTGCCGTGTTGTATGACTTGATTCTGTCCTTGTATATAGTAATATCTTTGGACCGCAAGCTAAACTTGATTTGCTTAGTTGGCTTGCGCAAGAACCCTCGGCTAAAGCGGTTTGTTTTCTCAAGCTCGGCCATTAGTTGTTTGAGCTTGTCGAATGTGTTCTGTATATCATCGAGGGTGGCACTGATACTACCCCAGAGGGCATTACCAGGATCGATCTCGGCCACGATAGCTTGCGGAACCCGACCTGAGGCATTGCTGACCGAGTCTAGGACTCGCGACAGAATCGTGACCTCCTCCAACAAATTAGAGACATTCTCGTCGACGTCCACAGTATCGTCTATCCAGGTGTATAGGGTCTTGACTATTGTCGCGCAGCTGATGGCGAGGCCGGCGGCGCCTGACGCGATAGATAATGGATCCATCGGACGATCTGTCGTCAAGGTTGAAAATGGAGCGAGTTACAGCTGAACTCTTGGTGCGGGGGTGACATTATGTTCCAATTGGGAATGCCACTTATGCAGGGTGGCATCCCAAAGAGGCAAACCGAGTACCTAAATTGACTACTAACATTACTGAAGTCATATTTTTTACCTCGTAGCATTCGATAAAACTACATTCAGTACACTATCGCACTATAGCTAGAATCTCATCGTATTTTGAATGGTACTGCAGTGATTTTGTGGTAAACAGAAGGCCAACCTTGGATTGCCTGCTTAAAAGTTCCACCCGATCTCTGACCTTGCGATATGCTTTTTTGATGATCGTACTACCTGGGAGTTTTTGATGAGTGGTCCCCCCTTTTCAACCATGATTTGCTACCTATAGAATGTTCATGTGTCTCAAGCTTATGAAGGGAAGCCAAAGTCCTTGTTGTTCTGGAAAGTTTCTTCTGTGGAGTCTTTCCGTGCCGGATATACGGCTTTAACTCTGACACAAGCTCGCATCTCTCTGCGATGTTCAAGCCGGAGCTTGTCAAATCGCGTTCAGCCCTAGGATGCGAAAAATAGCAACATGAGATAAGTTCGAAGCTATGTTCCACTTTGACATGGATAAATTACCTGCGCCTCTTTTCATATCCTGATGACGCAAGGCAGATGGGCCGTACCTGTGAAAAAATAGTTGCAATCGGGTGATGGTTGATAGCGCCCACATCCCGACCCGAGATCCTCCTGGAAGGACAGAAAACTCGGAAAATAGATATCAGTTGACGCAAAGACAAAGCTGAATCTGGCGTAGAGTTAACAGGCCATATGAGCTGTTATTTTTGGAGTCCAATTTTAATTTCCTCAGCCTTTTTCGTTCCCGTTGGACCCTTAGATGTCAAGTTACTAAGCGGCACGGAAGTAGTTGACGCAATTGCCGCCGCGTCAAGGCGCGCTAGAAATGCGCAGCAAGTTCTTATAATAGGACGCGTAAAGGTAGTTTAAGCTTACAATAGAAACATGCGAGAACCGATGGATGAGCCCCATGCGGGTACTATACTTAGATAACGAACAATGGTTTACATGTGAACCAATGCATTGATCAACGGTAAAATATAAAGAGAAGCCTGATCTGGCAGGATGCTTTGAAGAAATTGTTCAACAACACCACTACAATACGGAGGCTTAATCCCCATACAATGCTTGTTTTGTCTTTTATCCTGGCCCTAGGCGCAAGCGCCATCACGCACGCACATGGCGTCTTGGTCGAACGCTCAGAAAACCGCCTCATCAAGGGACCCGCTTCTCCAGATGGCACCTCTTCATCCTCCATAGAGCCATTGTGGCATGCGAAACAACAGGGCGATGAATTCGTCAAGTTGGATTTTCATCGATTGATTCAGCGTCGAGACACCAGTTCAACGGATAGCGGGACCTCAGCAGACGCTACGAGCAAGGCAACCAAAGATACCTCCGCGGTCTCTACCACTAAAGATAAAGCTACGACGACAGCTGAGGCTGAAAGTACCACGCTCAAAACAACTGGTTCTGGGACGGAGGCTTCCACCACCGAAGAAAGCTCCGTGTCATCAACGACCAGCACCTCATCGTCAACCTCAAGCACAGTATCATCGACAAGCACGACCTCGACTTCGACGGAACCCGGCGCATCATGCTACAGCACGACAGTCAAGAGCAGCACCATCTGTGAAACAACAGGACTCACCACATTAACGTGTTACGCTGCCAATATAACCTCGAGCACATGTTCTCCAGGCCTTCTGTGTGCGACCCAGTCAAGTAACGGCGTTACGATCTGCATGGAACTTCAGAATGAAGTTGGTACAGCCGGTATCATCATCGCTTCTGTTTTCTCGGCACTTATACTCATTTGTGCTTGTACCCTCATCACCATGTGCTATAGAGATAAGAGCAAGCAGAGGAGACAGGAGGAGTTGAGACGGGTGAGATCGGTGAAGATTGCTGAGAGAGCTACTTTGCTGCAGCGCGCGAAGTAGGGCTGGAGGTCGGGGAATAATGTATTGATGTAGAGACAGGCATGGCATGTGACAGGGGATCTGATGTTTTTTTTATTCATAGACCGATGCAATTAAGGATTTTGATACAATATCGGGTTGACAAAGGGCTTGTGAACAGGAACTGTGGTATATACGTGATAAAATTATCAGGCGTTGAAATCGTCGTTCACTATACTGATGACAAAGCGCATCGATCAACATGATGTTTGGGTTTCTTGCCGCGGTTCCCCTCAAAAGGCGGGGTCTTGATATGAAGCCGTTACCAACGCGAACGCCAACATCTGCATCAACAATATCAATTCAACATAACTAAAATTTACAATGACGTCCAAACCATCCTTCGACGCCCTTCCCCTCCGCAAAGACGGTCCTCCCGGAAACGCCTGGGGTCTCTTCGGCGACAACGATCAATGCGGCATGCTGAACCTCTTGACCCCAGATATCATAGCAAAAGCAGCATCAGAGATACGAGACGGCGTTCGGGTCTCTACCGATTGGCCGCTCAATCGAATGTCGCGACCTTGTTTCGGCCGTGCACCTTTCAAGCATGAGATTACTACTAAAACTCCGCGTGCTGTGAACGATGATACATTGACGTTTAATACGCAGAGTAGTTCGCAGTGGGATGGATTTAGGCATTATGCTTATCAGAAGGAGAGGCTTTGGTTCAATGGGAAAAGCCTTGATGATCTGTTATCTTCGGATGTCAACGGCATTCATTGTAAGTTATACTCGCTCCAAGTGGACTTCACTGACGTGGGCAGCTTGGGTTGAGCGAGGTGGTATCATTGGACGTGGAGTTCTACTCGACTATGCATCTTGGGCAGATAAGAACAACGTCGCCCTAACTCCCTTCGAAACCAAGTCAATCACTGTGTCGACACTAAAAGAAGTTGCCAAGAGCCAAGGAACAACGTTCCAAAAAGGCGACATTCTCTTCATCCGCACAGGCTGGATCCAAGCCTATGACAAGCTCTCCGATGACGAGTGCAAGACATTAGCAGATTACAAAGTCCCGCCAGCTCACGGGGTCGAGTCTTCAGAAGAAACACTACGTTGGCTCTGGGAGCAAGACTTTGCTGCAGTTGCTGGTGACCAACCTAGCATGGAGGCATGGCCTTGTCAGAACACGGATTTCTTTCTGCATGAGTGGTTGTTGGCGGGCTGGGGAATGCCAATTGGGGAGTTGTTTGATCTGGAATCTCTGAGTAAAGAGTGTGAGAAGCGAGGAAGGTGGTCGTTCTTCTTTTCAAGTATGCCGCTCAAGGTAAGTTTCTTTCCCTTCCACCTCTTGTTGAGCCGACGTTCTGATGCGTGTTAGGTTCCTGGAGGCGTGGCTAGTCCGCCAAATGGCGTGGCTATCTTTTGATTCACTGGTAGAACAACTTAATCAAGATGATCATGGAATGAACTAACTATTTATTTGATGTTCAATTATTTACTGTGCTGGAGTCTATAACAAGTCCGTCCAGCTATTAATGTTCATCCAATCCTGGTCTGATGTGAAATTGCTAAACTGATGTAAACCCTCTCCTCCGAGCAACCTGTTCCAATCAGGCGGACTCTCCGGCACCATAACCTGCTCACCCTGCAGTCTCTGCGTGACAAGCGTCTCATACTCACGATGCAACTCCTCAAAGACACTATGCACAGCCTCAGCATTAGGCCAGTGTCTCGCAAGTAATATCGTTGACCTCAGGAGTCTCGATAATCTCTCGAGTGCATTGATGGCGACTAGAAATGTCTGAGAGGCTACAGCTGCGCGAATTTCACCGGCAAATTGAATACCGGCTGCTGTCACCGCGCTGACGGACGTAAAGTGGCACTGTCGGAGTTCGTCGCGCGCCGTCAGCTTTTCCAGGGACGTTACTATGGCTTGGGCTGCTGCTGAGCAGATGGATTGACTACTTTGTTCGTGAAGATTACGATGAAGGTGGAGAAGGAGGAGATTGTAGTGCATCCTGAGATGGCATGTCCACGAGTCATCGTCTTCTGCAACGGTAGATATGCCTGAGCGGAGGGACCATAGACCGAGACGGGCATCGATTGATGCTACGTCTATGAGCCGATCTCGCGCCGGTGCGTTGAGTGCAATGACATCGAGACCGATGTAGGCCAGATCAACGAGGTGGTTCAGAAAGTCAGGGCTGACGCCAGATTCGGTGATTGTTGGGTCATTGCTCGGTGTATCCGTAATATCCTCCTGCTGAAGCGGCAGCTGATCTATATCCTCTGCTCTCACGGCACAAGGTCTTCCAGTCTCCAATGAGGAAAACACTTCACAGAAGAAAGCAGACCACCAACATCGTCGATACTGCGCCATCTCTGTAGCTGGAAGTTGAGAGCTTCTCCGATGAGCACCGAGACCGGTACCTATTCGTACAGCAATTCCAGCCCAGTACCACGGCCCGCCGGCAACTGTATCACCATCGCCAATATGCCAAGTGAACAAGGCAGCTGCTTGGAGAAGATGCATTCGATCTGATTCGTGCCGCATATGGTATAGCATGCTAGCTCTTCTGAAGAGTCTGTTCTGGACGGCATGGCGATCAGTGGCGACTAGGGGATGAGGGCATGCGTGAGCACCTGCCATGAGAACGGACTGGAATAGTAGAAGTGGTGGAGGATTATCAGGCGTGCGATAGCGAGCGAGAAATTCTGGCTTTGATACGATGGGCAGAAATGGGTGGATGTGATCAAAGTATGCTTGCACCAACGCATCGCGAACTTCTTGCGCCGGGAAAGAAGACACTTCCGTTACCAAGTCTTGAGTCACCCATGAGTTCGGTGTCGGTTTCCAGGATTTGACTTGTCTGATCGGAGGATATGGATAATGCAGTGGCTTTCCGCCTATCCTATCGCTGCTAGTGCTTCCATCTGCAGATTCCTGGAACGAGCCATGAGTATCAGGTCCTGTAGGCGCAGACAACGGTCGTTGGTCACCAAGAATGGAAGAATAGGGCTGCCTGAAAGAGCGATGCAAGTCGACGAGATGAACCAGATTCGACACAGCCGTGCCGACATAGGCAATGCGAAAGCTCTTTGTCGATGCAAAAACAGCCCAAGCTGCCGCGCCGATGCCATGTTTGAAGAACCTCGCTAATCCCTCCCGAGCGAGTTTCTCTTGGCCATCTGAGCGCGATGCATCATTCGATGTCTTATCACGCCGCGATGATGCAGATGAAGCCTCGGGTCCGAGGATCGAAAGATGATCATCCCTCTCAACGGCTCCGGCATCCGGATCCGGCTGCGATACTCCTGGTGATCTGATCGGTGTATCGCGATCATATGCATTTCTAGAAACCACCGAACTTCTTCTCGCGACAGCCCATTTCGCCGTAGACCTATACCGTCATCAGCTTATCAATTTCTGTCTCACAAAGGCGCGTCGGAGCCGTACCGGCATTCGAACCCGGACTTTTCACAGACGGAGCAAGGGCCTGATGGTCGGTCTACTATGTCGCAGCGGACTTTGCGGCGGCGGCACAAATCACATGCTTTTCGCTGCTGGCGGCGACGTTTGTCGTGCTGGGCTTTTTGAGGTGTCGGGTCCATGGTTGGTAGGTGAGTGGATTGAGGAGAAATCGGAACCGGTGAGTGAGGCTGACATGGTTAGTGTCGGCTCCTGGCGGAGAACCGAGAGCGGGCATAAGACGGGTATAGCGACATGATGTGTTCGCCAACGGGAGAAAAAGTGGCATTTGTGCAAGTGATTGACGCAATTGAAGCACATATTATAATCGAGCATCTCAAACTAGCAAAATTGCTAATAATCCTCCAGATTGAGACGCTGAGATTGGCCCGCCCCCTTGATTCCGAAACCGGTCTCCCACGTCAATGGTTGGAGATCAGCCTCCGTGATGCGGAGCTACCCCGTGCTTGTCTCACCAATCCAACTCATGCCTCACATCCATCAGTCATCGACCTACTAGTTAGCTATCGCCTACAGTCACGAAATTATGACGCGATCACTCCAAGGCTCCGTTGTTCTCGTAACGGCCGGCACATCTGGTCTCGGTCTCTGCGTGGCGGAAAAGCTGATTCAAGCCGGCGCCTCAGTAGTAATCAATTACGCCTCCAACGAGGAACGAGCCCGCGATGCCTTTGTACACCTGAACGAACTAGCTGTGAAGACTTTCTCGTGGGATACCGGACGACGATGTTTGAAAATTAAGGCTGATGTGACAAAGAAAGAAGGAATCCAAGAATTGGTCAAACAGACAGTATCTGCCTTGGGGAGAATTGATGCCGTGGTGTCAAATGCTGGATGGACCAAGTTTGCGAATTTTCACGACATCGAGGATAATGTTGATGAGGAAGTCTGGGACCACTGTTATGCGGCTAATGTCAAGTCACATATGTTCCTCTGCCATGCGGTGAAGAAGTATTTAGAGGAGGCCAAAGGAGCATTTGTTATGACAGCTTCTGTTGCAGGGGTCAAACCTAGCGGGAGCTCTATCGTGAGTGATTCAGCAATCAATCATTTACGAGAATATGGTGCTAAATTCTTGGAATAGGCATATTCAGTTACCAAAGCTGCACAAATCCATCTGGCAAAGACTTTGGCTATGGTCATGGCACCGTCAGTTCGTGTCAACTCTGTGTCCCCGAGCTTTATGGAGACTGTGAGTTCTGAAAGCTTCAAGATATCTGTCGTTATTGACTAACCTGACTTTTAAGAATTGGATCGCGAGTATGCCGCAATCAAAGATCGACGATGCAAGAGAAAAGACTCTTCTTAAGCAGATCGCCAAAGTGGAGGTACGCACGCTGAGACTTTCATATCATTGAAAATGCACTGATCACTAAAAAGGACGTCGCAGAGCAGATTATCTTGCTCATCAAATCGGAATCTGTAACTGGATCTAATGTAGTTGTTGATTCCGGGTTTTCTATCTAGGCTTGCGGAACCGAGTCGTAGCTCAGGGCCAACTGAGTGGTCGATTGAAAAGATGGGTCTGTTTTGAGGATGACGCTCGGCGATTTCTCGATTCGTTGATTACTCCCGATGCTTGGATCCTCCGCGCCAAGCTTGGGTAAATCTGTACGTACAGGGTAGCCATTGAATCCAGCCTCGTTTAACACCAACCAATTCTTCAGCTCAGATGCCAAAGTGCTGTATATTTACTTTAATTGAGAATTCCTGACATAGCCTAATGTCACCTGATGATTGTGTGCCTTGGAATTGATTCTTGATGTCTTGGAAATGGCGGTCATTGAATGTAAAATGATACATATGTTGGGGGCCATTTGTTGAATCACCGCAATCAGGATCCGCCAAGAGTTATTGTCATTCTGCGCCTCTCACAAAACGAACAATGCTAGCCAACAGAGCGAAAGTTCATCACTCTTGGCAAATTGTCGCGTGATGTAGAAAATGCCCAGGAACAATGACGATGGTTCCCCTTGGCGTATACCTCCCAAGCACAAAAGCCCCCGCGCGTCGCTTACAGGTCCATTCCTAAGCTTCTTTTGCGCCATTACATATTGAACTGAGAAGAACAAAGGGATATGCCGACTTCTACAGAGTTCTTTGGCGTCACTGCCTATAATCTGGGTCCATTGACTACAACATTCTCAGCCCCATCGGCCTGTGCAACTGGCAACGATCATCACGTCATCGTCAACGGAAGCAAACCCGATGAGGTCTGGGGACATCCGACATGCGGTTTCAAAGACCGCGGTAGCTGTCTTCCTAGCGGAAAGTCTTATGATTCGCTAGCAAGTGTGACTACTCCGCTGAACCGGGCCTGGAACTTTTACTACTCACCTGGCATAGCCTGCCCATCGGGATGGACTACCGCTGGGACCATGATCAAGGAGGGAGAATCTTCCGTCAGCGTATCTGGCGTGTTCTCCAGTCGCTTGCAGGCGTCTATCACCGGAGCGATAGAGCTTGAGCCTGCTGACTGGTGGGCCGAAATTATGAACGTGTCCGAGACAATTGCCTATTGTTGCCCAAGGTGTGTTGATACAATATTGATGCGCAGAAGGCTAGACTGACGGACAACTCAAAGTGATTACGTGGCAAACCCTGCTGGATACTGTTTTTCAACGGTTGGTCCAAGGACCGACTTCAACTATTCGTCCATGTGCTACAGACCGACACCAGTGGACTTAATCACGGTCACGAGTTTGGATGGCGTGTCGTTAACGCAGCCGTTAATTTCTTTGGACATTCTGACAACACCGGGTTCGACGTTTGAGGATGACCGACTGTTTACTCATTCACTTTACTCAACTGAACTTGTTGTTGCTACTTGGGTGCCTGCTGTGCCTCTGATTCACCAGCAGTCCGATGTAGATGAAGCAGAGGAGGATGACGACGAGGATGATGACGATGAAGATGCTGGTGGAAATGCTGCTTCCACCAAGACACCAGGAAACGGGGTTGTGAGTGTTCTCGGACTGGCCCTGGGTATCCTGGCTGGTATAGGCATGCTTCTATGATATCTGTTTGTATTTCTTCAGCTTGGTAATTTGAGTTTCGGCCGCAGAGGGAGATCATTCGTTTTAATGCAGTGCAGTTGTTTATGGACAACCCAATCGCATTTAAGAATTTCGTTCACAACTCTATGTTTTTCTTAATCTTATACCCTATTATCGAAATATGCTACCTTGAGACATTGATGAAGCTCGGCTCTGAAAACTTCCAGGGTTCTGTAACATGCGCGATGTGACCCTCACGCAATGACGCGGCTTTTTAGAGGCTGGGACTCGCGCCTAATGCCTACTTGGGAAACAACCTTAATCGATTTGATCGTAGCGGAATAAGAGAGACGAATTATGTGCTCAATTAGAATGGCAAAACTAGGATTACAGCCTCTGACACGGTCCATTGTCATCCGGTAGCAATCTGACACATCTCGTGTTGTAACCCCTCCAGGGGCCGCCTCACCCAAAACTGACTATGTGATCGTATACATGAAACAAACCAGCAACGGCATTCGGCAACGTTTCAACAGAACAGATTTATTCACTTACAAGGCACGTACTATTACCGATGAAACCAAACCCCAAACTTCGCATCCCTAGTCGCCGATTCCCAACTCCACTATAGATCATCGATTCCGCCAAGGGAAAGCTTAACAGTCGATCCCAAGTTTGAGACCTGTATCAGCATCTGGGGAAGCACTGCCACAGACGTCCATTCTTGGCGTTTGGTGTATCAGCAAAGTTTCCGAAGTTAAGCTTTTGGCTGGATCTATTTTGAGATCCTGTTTTGGAGTAGAACCTGAATGAGAGATCATGTATAAGAAGACTGGTTTGTTCCCACCAAACATATTTCTCGTCATCCACACTCACCTCTCATTTTCAGACTATTAAGATTCGCTTGACGCGACTATTTCTCTTCTCTTTTCGGACTGGTGCCTTTTCACATCAATAACTGCTGGGCAGCCTTTTTTCCTTAATTGTCTAAACACAATCATTTGAAAATACTCACTATGTATTTCTCCAACATCGTTGTCGGTGCTCTCGCAGCCCAGGCCATGTCTGGTGACAGAAGGCCAACTCCAGCACTAGCTGGAAAGTTCGCGGTATTTACCTTGTCTTCGACTTCACTACACCTAAGCTTATAACCTTTCTAGGCCTTGATGGCTGCTGCAGCCCTACCAGTATCCGGAGTACCAGTGATTGGCCTCATTGAGCCTCGATCGGTAAGTACACATAATTTGACCCGTAGGTATTTTTTGCTGACAAGAGAAGCCCGAGATCTTGGTGCTAGGTGGCGGTGGTCAGCAGAACCAGGGCCAACAGGATGGCAACGACGACGCTCAGGACGATGCCCAAGACGAACAAGACGACCAGAATGAGCAAGATGACGAGGACGCCCAAGATAACCAGGACGACCAAGACGGCCAAAATGGCGGTGGCAGACAAGGTCGGGGTGGTAGAAACGGCAACAACGGCAACGGCCAGGGTAATGGCAATGGCCAAGACCAAGGCAATGGAGGAAACCAAAACAACGGAGGAAACCAGGGCGATCAAGCTACTGCTACTGAGTCCCTTGCTACTGCTGTCGACACAGCCACTAATGTCGCCACCGACGTCGGTGCCATCCAGAGCCGCATCGCCAACGAGACCGTCGTCACCCGATCCCTGGGTCCCGGCCAGCTTCTCCCTCCCGGCCAGACAGATGCTGTCAACACCCCGGGCCAGGGTGGTGATGCCGCTGCCACTGAGACTCCTGCAGCTACTGAGACAGGTGCTGCTGGCGAGACCGGAGCTGCTACCGACAGTGCTGCCGTCACTGAAGCCCCTGCTGCTACCGACACAGCTGCTGATGGTGCCGCTGCTACTGTCACTGTCACCGCTACCGTCACTGTTGACAACGGCAATGGAAATGGCAACGGCAACGGAAGAGGACGAAACAGGGGCGGTAACAACGGAAACAATGACAACAACGGCAATGGTAATGACAACGCTGGCCAGAACAATGGCAATGATGCCGGCAACGGAGGTAATGCTCAGAACGGAGACAACGCCCAGAACGGAGGTAACGGAAACGGAAACGGCAACAAGGATGCCGGAAACAACGACGGCGCTGCTAACGGTGACGCCAACGGTGGTGCTGCCAATGGAAACAAGGGCAACGCTGGTAACAACGATGGCGCTGCTGCTGGTGGAGATGCTGCCAACGGCGGTGATGCTGCTGCAGGAGGCAATGGTGCTGGAGCCGGTGGTGCCGGAGGTCTGCTCGGCAGCATTCTCGAGCGCCTGACAGGAGGAGCCGGTGCTGGTGCGGCTGCTGGTAACAACTAGACAACTCGTATCAACTTGCAAGATGACCTCTCTGGTATGATACTGGGATTGACTGGTGCAGGACACCGGCGGGCAGGCCTGGGATGATAGATTGGTTCTCGGTGTAGTGTAGTCATATGTACTAGTAATTGAACCCGCTTCCGAACGTCCCTCTCCGTTTCCGTCGCATGTTATCAGCAAATTCAGCTTTTGAATCAGGTTCAATTTTTGCAGTTCGCAATCAATCAGGTATTCTGCCATTTTCTGTGCCTCCTGATTCAACTCTTTGGGCACAAGCCAGAAGCGAAAGGCCAGCGGCCCGATATTAGGATAGCCGATTTGATCGGGGTTGAACTCTTCCCAGATAATAGAAAACTCCATCGGATTAATTTTTCGGAAATCTTTGTCCCTCGCCAATTCCGGAATGTCTTTTGTACAGAGCTGAACCAGTAATGAGGAGTCTGTGGCGATGATCACCTGTCTTATGGCAGGATCCAGACAATCATACAATTCGTCGAGTGCCCGCTCAAAATCTGTATACTCTGTCTCTCCTTCGCTAATGAAATCAGGCCACACCATAAAACTAGATTTGTTATAGCTAGAATCAGGGCCGGGGTACAAGGCCCATGAACTTATGGCCATTGGCCAAAATTCTTTGTGCCTGTTGGCCAGGTGTATGATGATGGTGGTAGGATCTACTTTTATTTCTCCTGTTTCCGAGCATTTGCGGGTGAGATGTGACCTCTGAGTTTCAAGATCGAATTAGATGAGGTTTTGATGAGGGATGTTTGAAGATCTTGGTAGTCGGCTAGATTGAAGCGTCTTTGGCGTTCTTCATGCTCTTAAGGTCTCTGCTGATTTGAGCTCTCAGTTCTTCATGCTCCTTCTCTTCTTCTCATTTCTCTACGAACTCTTTCGACTCACTAGGTGATGATTCGCATTTGAGAAAGTCCTCTGCAGCAGACATTTTTGTCGATCGATGCGTGGGCTAAAGTTTTGCTGGTGGTCGTGCTTTGTGTCACGTTAGATCAATTGCATTGAATCTGCACAATATTGACCCATAATCACTGATAAGATAAGACACATCAACTCAACGCTTATACGCTTTTCTGCCAGATCCCCCGAGCGGCATAAATCTTCAATTGAAAGCGCGATTCGCAAGCGCATCAGCGTCCACGTTCCACTCTCTCGGCGCAAGGACAAAACTGAACTGCATCCTCCGACCGCCAGACCAAGCCAAGTCATCAATAGTATGTTTCATCTCCAGCATGATATTCCAGTGCGCCGCCCTTTGACCTCGGGAATTTATACCCCCGTTCTGCAGCCAGACACTCATGTACTTTGTAAAGGCTCGAGTCAGATATGAAGAGTCTGACACGATGACGACTCTATCGAGGTAGAGCGGTTACTCATTGTGAATGCAATCTATTGAATGCCTAGACGGTGGTTGTAGGCCCTGAGTGAGTCCCAACATTCTGATTTTGTTGATTGGTATCTGCGATGTATAAGCTGATGATGCCAGACTCTTTGCCATACTCGTTCGCGTCGCAGTCTTCAACAACTTCACACCAGCCAGTTGTCTCTGTAATCATATTTTTCGTTTCTGCGTGACCTTAAAGGACGAAGATTGCAAGAATAGGGGTGAAATCAGCATGTAGTTCATCAGCCGACGGACATCTTATTAGGATTGATTAGACGAAAGGTTATCTTAGTCTGGATCTTGCCGAACATAGTTAGCGTTCACGATGGCCATGCGGTGATAAGATAAGAAATGTCTGGAAGCCGACTACACTAGCCCAAGCCAAACATTGGCCACGAGAGTATTACTTTCGCTCGCATGGGGTACTGAGTGTAACCTAAATTGGAAGTCTTCCCACTAAGTGCTGAAGATAATGTCCTATATGACAAAGAGCTCTCATTGCACAGATCAGGTGACAAACACATAGCAGCTCGCGAACGGGCCGAACGAGGCCTCGGTTTCTGGGACACGGTAATAGCGGGGATATACAACCGAGCCTCAACACGTTTTTGACAACAGAAGCTATGTCCAAGCGCATCCTATAAATGAACTTGAGCCAATAGAAATCACAGAGCAGTCACCGGGCTCTCGGACTTTTCTGGTTTCCCCAGATCTTCTTGTGATCCCCGGACTTTATTCCGCGTAGAAAACCCCCACTGTCCGTCGATCCTTGTCGAGATCGTCTGTTCTTCGCCCCAACCACGTTTTCGCAAGATATCAGGCCATGGAATTTATGACGTGTCGAAAAGCTTGGATCTTTCTTGAGCTGACGAGTTCTGACTAGAGACATGGAATCATGTGGCAGTCAAGTCGGTTCCGACATTTTGTTGAGAATTCTTTGCTGCCAAGCATATCCCTGCAGCGTGGCCTTTGTACGACACCATTATGCATGCTCGTTTCATGTCTCCCGAGTCTTTCGGCGATTAGCAAGATCTGCCATAAACTCAATCTACTTTCTTTAGTCTTCAAAATTCCAACTAGATCTGAGTTTTCAGATCTGCACATCAGCTCTGACTAGTTTTTCCTGACTCGAGTTCCTCGGAACCCACCATCAGGTGATATCTCCTCCTCGGAATAAGATCGCATTTGCCGTTTCAACTTCCCCGCATCAATCCTTCGATATGCATGCCGGGCCAACGGGCATACATGATGTCAAAGCGACAAGTCAAAGCAATCACAGAAACAGACAAGCTCCTCTTGTCCGTTGCTCTTTGCCAGATTTGCTACTCGAATGGAGATAACAAACACAGTTTTGGGTCCACTTCGTGTCACCTCATTCGACCCCTCACCATCAGACCAACAATCACCCTGTTTCCGCCCTCCTTCGAAAGATCCTGCGGAACGATGCCCGCATAGAATGTTGCCTGATATTACCTGGGTGGACCGATCAATACTCGAGTGATATAAAAAGTCAACATCCTCGAGCCTGTTCTTGCAGATATCTCAACCCCAAAATCTTTGAAACAACTTCCTTTGATCGAGCACCACCTTCAACTCATAATGTCAATCCCCTCTCAACAACGAGCAGCAGTCCGTCAAGGACTTGGCCCAGAAGCAACAGCTCCCATCCGCACAGTCGACGTTGAGAAGCCAGGCCCAGGCCAAATCCTCGTCAAGATCACATGGACTGGTCTCTGCGGCTCCGACAAGTCTCTCCTGCACAATGAATGGAAAGACTTTGGCGTCAGCATGATGGACGCCTCCAAAGGCATCGCTGGTCATGAAGGAGCCGGTAATGTCGTGGCTGTTGGTGAAGGTATGGAGAATAGGTGGAAGATTGGTGATCGGGCTGGTGTGAAGTGGATTGCCAGTACTTGTGGCGAATGCGACTTTTGCAGAGTTGGTTCGGATGAGGTTCACTGCCCCAACCAGACAAACAGCGGATTTTCTGTTGCGGGAACATTCCAGGAATATGTTATCGCGGACGGAAGATATACTTCGAGAATTCCAGATGGTGTTTCTGATGAGGAGGCTGGACCCATTATGTGCGGAGGCGTGACAGCATACACAGCCTGCAAACGGTAAGTCATACCGCCATTCGCAATCAAATGGCACTAATGTTCTCTAAGATCAGGCGTAACTCCCGGCCAGTGGCTAGTCATCCCCGGCGCTGGAGGCGGTCTCGGCCATTTCTGCATCCAATACGCCAAAGCCATGGGCATGCGAGTCATCGCTATCGACGGCGGTGACGAAAAGCGAAATCTATGCCTCAAGCTCGGTGCTGAAGTCTTCATTGACTTCAAGACAACAAAGGATATCACCGCCGAGGTTATGAAGATCACTAAATACGGCGCTCATGGTGTGATCATCACAGCTGCAACGCGAGCGGCATACGAGACTGCACCTAACTACCTCCGTCCCAATGGCACTGCTGTTGCTGTTGGTCTTCCCCAAGACCCAACTGTCATTGCTGGTGCACCTCCTATGGCGGTTGCTCTGCGCCGCTTGAAGATCGTGGGAAGTGTTACAGGTAGCATGAAGGATGTTGAGGAGGCTCTTGACTTCACTGCTAGAGGTCTCGTTCGAGTAAGTATAGCCAAAGAGGACAGGAACCTAATAGCATTATTCTAATGTTCTATAGCCAATTCTTTCAAAGGGCAAGCTTGAAGATCTTGATCAATGGATCAAGAAGCTTGCTACTGGTCAAGTCGCTGGACGATGCGTTCTCGAGGTTGCTGCTTAGGATATCTCACGAGAGTAGAATGTGCTTAGTTATTATTGTTGGCTGGTTTGTTGGCAATTGGTGTAATTTTTAAGCTGTTTAATGAATATATATAAAGAAGAGCTTTTATAAATACCACTGTTAATTAATCTAGGTTAATGCTAATAGGTTTTGTAGACACTACTTAACCTCCTGCGTTTATACGGTAATAGTAGTCGTCATTCTCACCCTTTTCCAGCCTTTCGAGCTCTGGATGAAGCTGGAACTTGTTCAAATTGTAATGCTCTGCGACTCTCCTCGCTGTCCAACCATCTGCATCTGGTTCATTTGCGTCGATTCCCTTTTCCACCAGAAATCGACTTCTCCACATCAATCTGTACTGGTCAAGCCCAGAACGCGCCACGATATGTAACAAATTCCCCCCTTCAGATGTCTTGACCTTCCAATCAACGCCGGCCTCATCCAGAGACTCGAAAACATCCCTATCGACTTCTCCTGAATATCGGAAATCTTGATCCTCGTCCGTGTCAGACAAGCGAAAGGTGCTCGCCTTAATGTCGTCCATATGGCCGTCATCATCCAATATGAGCTCCGCCACTGTCTTTCCTGCGTTGTTTCGCATATTTATATCATCGCAAAACGCGATCTTTAACAGGTCATAGAACAATTCTCGCTTTCCCTCCCCATACCACATGGCAGTCAAATCGTCATCAGCTAAGTAATGCAGCGCGGTATTACCCTTCCTGTCTTTGGCCCGAGGATCGGCACCAGCTCTTATAAGATCCCGGACACACCCGAGAGGCTCTGCCATGGCAACGGGGGTATGGCTTTCTGCTAAGGGATGGAGGCGCATCCGCCGAAGAGCTGCATGAAGTGGATATGTTCCATGGTGATCAGGCTGGTCGACCAAAGACTGATATCTCGACGAAAGAATGCACAAGGAACGCCGAACAATGGGGAGCTCTTGGAATTCCGCATTTCGATTATTGCTAACTTCGACGAGGAGGTGATGCAACGCGTTTTTCCCTTGATTGTCTACCGCGAGAGGGTCTGCCCCAAGCCGAAGGAATACTTCAATCAAAGATTCCGAGCCTGGCTCTGAAAAGTCTGACTCACTCGGCCCCAAGAACCGATCCCATTTTGGATAGAGCTTCTGGCCTGATTCTCCGTTTTCCACTCTCCAATTAACATCCACAAAAGCGGTCCCAGCAAGTATATCAGCTCCAGCTGCACTTCGACACGCACTGAGCAGGAGTGTGCGTCCTTGAGGATCACGATGCTCAAGGTCTAACGATTCCAGGAAGCCAGGATAGTCCATCAAAGGCTTGAGCCAAATCCCGTCCTCGATGATAGCATGTACAAGCTGCCGAGCACCCCAAACAGGCGCTGGCTCTTCGTCATCCCACTCATCATCTGGAAAGTGCGGATTCCCATTCTTCTCCTCCCAGTCTGGACTATTGGCTTCGACTGCGCGATCGGGATAAGATGTACGTGGAGGGTCTTCACCAGGGAAGGGTGCCCTGAACTTGAGATAGCGCTCTGGATTATAAACAGCCTGAGGAAACTCTTGGTACAAATCACACCCATGCCGAAGAAGGGACGTGATCATTTCAAGCCTTTCACCCTTACAATTGGGTCTGCTGGAGAATGCGTTGGCAGCGCAATAAAGAGGTGGCTGAAACTGCTCACCGTATCGCTCGAACTGTGGGGGTGGATCTTGGGCGTCCCATCCGGGCTCGATTGTATAAAGTAACTCTCGAGATTTCTCTGGTTGGCTACTGGGATCCGCTCCCATAGACAGCTCTCTATCTAAGCGATCTGGAGACTAGTGGCCGGCCGGTTGAGAGCAAATGAGCGGGAGCTCATTCACTTGATGATAAGGTGAGGTTGGGTGCATTCTCTTCTCCAGAATCCTGGCTGTAATAATAGGAAAGTTTTGAATGTATTTAGTAGACAAAAGAAATTACCCGTTTTAAGGGCAGTTTATGTAACTTTTGTAGTCAGAAAGCCAGCGAGGTGAACCGTGGTCTGAGGTTTCAATTGGCTTGTTGGTTGTTGGTCAAAAACATACTTTCGCCCTTTCCCAAGCTAGGTAGCTGAGAGAGAAGTCCCCTGTTCTAGTTGTGTGATAGTTGATATGACTCACTTTTTGGGTGCCGAGCAGCCGGGCTGAACCAATCTGGCGCCCCAAGTCTTGCAAGCATACTGGTAGGTCTATTTTGAGGCGCTTAGCATATGAGGGTATTATAAAACAGAGAATATCATAAGCCTGAGGACAAAGTCTAAGTGTCACTGGAATGGTTGAAATCGGAAACATAATGGGTCTTCTAGGTGCCACTGGCATTACTGCCGCCGCTGGTATCCTGATCTTGGCAAGTTGTAACGGCTCAAGTCTGAGCGACCTTTTGAGCCAAGGATGTATGTCATTGGCACGGCCGAAGGTCTTTCTATGCCAGACTTGGAGTAGACTGCACATCAAGGTCGGTCTCTAGAAGTCACTCACAATCATGACTTAACAATATTAACTTGGATGGCATCAAAGTAGAATTAGCTAACTTTTCAGTCTTTGAAAAGTCGTCCTATATGTTCTCATGGGTTCCCGACCTGATAGCCCGACAGCTCTTGTTATCACCGACACCGAATAACCTCCAGTACTAGACCATCTCTAGTCACACCAAGGCTTCCCATCTCTTCTTCTTTCAACCAATCTTCGTTGAAAATGAACTTGATAGATGATAATTTGGGGAACCGATCTGGAGAGCTCAGGGTGTCCAGAAACTCCTGGAGCTGGCTGATAATATTTCCTCCACAGCTATGAATCTCGAGACACTCCAAGTATTCTGGAACACATTCAACGACTCTCGGCGGTACGATAGATGCATCCATCGTGAAATGATACACTGTGCCATTACCTAGAAGTCCACAGACATTCTGAGACCCTAAAATAAGACGTTTCAATCTGTGCATCTGTCGCAGCTCAACCCCCATGTACAGTCGTTCTCGTGGTCCGGGGTGGCATGATCTAGTGCGGGCTGCCTCGGCGAAATCAAGATGAAGATATTCCAGGTTGTCTTTATGGAGCAAAAGAGCTTCCATAATATCCTGGGCCGCTATATCGAACACGTCACTATCTTCCCATTTTTTAAAGTCGCATGTATAGGTGAACTTCCGAAGGTCCTTGCACGCCCCTATTAAAGATCGAATGGCTCGGGGTACGCACCAACTATCTCGCAAGATGATTGACTGAATGTTCGAGCACCCTTCATCCAGGGGGTCTATGTCAAACTCATCCATTTCAGGGCTTCTCGCTCCAACGCATTCGTAGGAACGAATACTAGGGATGCGAAAAAGCCATTGTGCGTGGTTGTAAAATGGGCGCATGTCTTCCCAGCTGCCTTCTGCCTCATGTTTAACATTCTCCAACTTGGTTAGCAACCTGCAGGGAGGGTGTTCGACATGTCTTCTCCTGAAGGCTCCAGTAGCAGCTACCAGAGTCCTGCTGAAACATCTTGGATCTCGAGGGTAACCATATGTCAAAGTTTTGATCTCTGTGCAGACAGCAAGTAGAAGATCCACTGCTGCCTCTTCGACTCTTGCTTCCAGAAACCGAATCCATCGGCTGCTATAATGCGTGTCATATCCTAGCTTCTCGGAATATATTTTCGAAATCAGTTGCTTATAGAAAATCATATCATTGGCATCGATATGAACTGTTCCACAGCGATAGTTATCAGTCAGCCAATCATACAGTCTGATCGTACGAACGTATCGGGCAAGCTCTGGTTTGATGATTGAAACGTATGAAAGAAACTGCACAATACGCGAGCGAACTACAGACCCTTTCTTCGGGATTTCAGGTCTCGGGATGTCGCAGAACGTTTTTACTGAGAAAGGTAGTGCAACTACGTAGAGTTGTTTGCACGAGAATAGAAGTGAATGAACGGATCTGAAATCAGTCGAGTCAGCAACAAGGGAGATTATCTGGCTCTGAATCTCTGGAGGGACAGTGAGTAAGAAAGGTTTCTGGTTCGCCAAAGAAGCCATCTTGAGGTTTCCGATGAGATTGATATTGCGAGAATTCAGAAGCAAAGAGGACACGGCGCAAAGAGACATTTTAATCATATGACAACCCCACATTGGTCTTCGCTTGCAGAACCAACAACTTATTGCATAATAGCCGTAAATTTATCATTCTTATGATTAAGGGAAGCCACGACAAATGAATTAAAAGCAGCACGGCATAAGTAATACAACTCCCGTATTTCTTCGTGATTGACCTCAGTTAACGCGACTACGAGATAGATATAGCGCCTTGAACGGATCTTATCTTATCTGATGGTCTTTCGCAAACGTGATTGGCAGGAAAGCCCTTTAGTGGATACTCGATGATCCCTCGGCTGTAAGATTGACGTGAAAATTCATCAAAACCTCCCCCCTTTACCATCCCAAAACTACACTAGTCTCATTTAGTCACCGCATTTCAACGACAATATCACGAACTTCTCACAGTTTCTTGACAAGAAACACCCAGCCTTTCTTCAGAACTCTTTTATACTATGCTCTTGCCCTATCTTATATAAGAAATTCTTTAACAAACCATGACTACAAGCGAGGATCACGTAAGAGATGCAGAACTACAATATCTCGCCAATCCTTTGAACGGCAGTCATTTATCAGATGGAATAGACGGCTCAAGTCATGGTACTACTACCTACCCTCATCATACTTGACAAATAACTGACCACTGCCAGACAATCGTCCACCTATTCCTGGACCAAGTTGCGAAATCTACACCTTCACCGACGAAGTCATTGTGCCCTCATCAGCACCAAAATCTCACCCTTATCTTCTCGTCAACATCGGATCAGGCGTATCATTCTTCCAGGTCTCAGAGAACAATCAATGTCAGCGAATCTCGGGCTCCTCATTCGGCGGCTCAGCGTTATGTGGCTTACTCCTTCTTCTCACCAGAGCCCGCACATATGACGATATGCTTGAACAAGCTGAGAAGGGTAACAACGCCAATGTCGATAAGCTAATTGGAGACATTTATGGAATGGACTACAGCAGAATTGGCATGAAGATGACAGCTGTTGCTTCAACATTCTGCAAAGCCTTCAGCTTGGAGCATCGACCTGATGCTGATATTCAAGAGGCGGAAAATCCCGTACGGGACATCAAGTCCTTCTCAGATGCAGATATCTGTCACTCCTTGGTTTTCGCGGTTTTTAACAATATCGGCCAACTGGCTACTTTGCATAGTCGCATTCATGGTAACCCGGATATTTATTTCACTGGCCCTTATGTGCAGAACTGCCAGCTGCTCATCAGAACTTTGTGCATTGCAGTGCGCTATTATTCCCAAGGAGAGAAGAAGGCACATGTTGTGGTCAACCAAGGCGACTCGGCTGCCTAGACCTCAAAGAAGTCATGATAAAATGATCATGGGGCATTACTAGCATCATCAAGCGAATCGAATCATTATAGAAACTTGGAAGGTTGTATACACATGATATCTTGTTCTCCGTCTGTATCTAGTCGTCTTCGTCCCCCCTCAAGCTACCCTGTCATGAAATCCAGATCCCCTACACAAAAGTATCATGCCATTCTTCCTTCTGTCCTGTTGGTCCTAAAGACCCTAGATGCGTTGAGTGTGTCTTCAAGGTGCTTTCCGTCAGCCATCCTGTACCCTGTATGCTCGATTCCCTTTTGCAGATGTTCTCTGAGCTGTGCCCGAGTGTCATACTTCTTCGTCTCGCAATGAGAGCAACGATAAACCACATCTACCGCAAATCGCTCCCAGTGCTCCGTTGCAGCGCGTTGGCGTCTTATCTCGACTGCTTTCGTAGCAATTGAGTTTATATCGTTGATCACCGGAGTCTCAGCTAGATACTTGTCCGTCTGCGCTTTTATGAAGCTGAGGGTCTCTTCTCCCGTATTCCAAGGACGCCAGTCATCGAGAGAGACTGTATGAAGGTCGCCTCCCACGTTGAGTCGGTATAAATGCTCTGTCATTTCGATCGCTTCGCAATGGGCTAGCCACCCCTCGGTGCCGTTCATACCCTCACAGTTCATCATCCAGTTCTTCCAATTCTTTCCTATCTCGATATACTTTTTGAAAAACTGTTTGTGTCTACCGTCATCTCTTGGTGTAGCTTTCTTAAAAGTTCTGCTTTGTCCCTTGACGTCGTTGGGCACACCGTTATTGATATTTGGTGCATCCGCAGGATCCTTCAAACCGGTCCCAATACTGACGAAAAGGGCGGGAACCAAGTTGCTGTGGAGTTTATGAATTTCTCTGAGAGCGATCAATGAGGGGTTGTTAGCTACCATGCCACCATCGAGGAACTTTCTTCCCATAATCTTGATGGCCTCAAAGTACCCCGGTGCCGCTGTTGTTGCGCGAGCAACCTCCCAGATTGTAGTCCTATGAGCTGGTCCTGCGTTGGATGGATTGTAGCGTTTGGTGCCGTTTGTTTTTGGACCGAAGTCATTGTCATAACTTCTCCACACCCATTCCTTACTAACGCCAGTTTTCTTATTGATGGCCCACGAGATGGCGATACTATATATCTCAGCGTCAGTAGGCCAATCAGTACGAGGCATTGCAGCAAACCTTACGTTCTAGTTCGGTCTTCTCTATATTTCAGTTGCTCAGTTTCTACCTCACTGGGATCACATACCCTTTCTCGTTGGAGGGTATCGTAAATAATCTTCTGATATGCTTCGCGTGTCTGACGGCATGAGTATTTCGCTCGCGGCCAATAAGGGAATGAGAGCTCGTGGAACCGTCGAGGTTTCCCGAACACGGCATTTCCAAATGACTTATATGTGTCCAATGCTTGATCAACAGACATACGCAATCTTCCCAGCATGATGCTGCTCAAACTATGAATGTTTAGCGCCAAATACTGAAGTAAGCATTGTGTAGCTCCTTACCCTCCTGTTGAGGTTCCCGCGACATAGTCAAAGTAATGGCATGGGAGATACTCATCAACTCGTTCTGGCTCTGGGTCATCTTCAAGGTGATTGTCCTCAAGTGCCCCTCTCCAGCGGTAGAAGCTGCTGTCGGAGGCTCGGTAGTCTTGGTGCTGATACTCTAATTCCCGTATTCGAGTCATGATACGTTTTAGCACCAGTAGACTCGCATAGCCACGAATACCACCACCATCTAGTATGCAATTGTTAGAAAGACAGTCAATCAACTATAATAGTTTCGTACCAAATGTCAAGATTGTCTTTTGGGCCCATGGGCCTACTTCATATGAGATGTGCTCCGGTCCGCGAATAGGAATTGAGGGATCGACATCAGCGCTGCTCCCTCCGCTGACTTGATGTTGTAGTGTATGAGAGGTATCAGGAGACGAGGTGGCCATTTCGACTTAAAAATTGAAGATTTCTAGGGGAGTGAAGATGGATTGTAGTGACTGCGAGAGGTTTGTTTGTCTGTCAACAATGGGGGGGCCATCTGCTACCGAACCCACGGCATCATTTTATGCCTCGCCAAACAAGGCTCTGAGGCTGGACCAGAATCGGAACTTGGTGGTGTGTGAGGTCGCCTGCAGAGACCGCCCAGCCCGTGTAACTGTGATATAGCCCCGATGGCTGCCATGGGCGACAGTATCATGCTCGTTCTTGTAAAGGGGGCAGAGGCCCGGAGCTGCCGCAGCCTGATAGTCTACAATGATTTGCGTCCAGAGATATCTTGAAGGGTTATTCACCAAAGGCAAGTGAAAGCGATACTGCCAGATCAGTATAAGCAATGATGTTTGATTGATCAAGTCAAGTCGATATTGTATCAATGTCTATCATCTTTGCTTGATACAAATGCTTTTTGGGCGACATCTCGAAGACTCGGAAGAGAGCTTAGGCGCTGGCCAAAGCCACTGTAGTATTATGCGCGCGGTCAGTATATGGCTTGAAATATTGGCTGTTGTGCTACCAACCCTCACCCAATAATCCAGTGCCAAGCCTCCATCAGTCCAGTGGAATGACCTTTCTCTTCCTTCAGCATGGTTTCTTTGGGCTCGCTGCATTTGCGATTTCCAGCGCATTCCTGACATTTTTCAGCTCGAGTCTCATGGCGTAAATAACGGAGATTATTGCTTGTGGCCATGTGACTGCACTTTCGCGGCGGATGGTTCTCGCGTTCTGACAGGTTTGCCACCCGAAGCCTGTCATCATGCATACACCGGTTGAAGAAATGGGGAAATTGCACAGCTGACCGGCTTACTTGCATCTTGGAACGAACTGCTTTCTTTAAACAATCATGGTTGAAGGTTACATTTACTACAAAGGCATTTCCCGACTCCCCAATAGACGGCCAAGTTACATTCATGGCCCAAAAATACCCAAAGTGGCGCACCAACCCGTTGCGAAACCTGCAAATAATATTGGAAATGGTCAACCCCTCCTTGTAATCATCATGCCCACCCGGAGACGCATGCTGACACTCTCTATGCATTCACCACGTAGAGCTGAGGCTCTTCTCCGACAAGTCTGTGCAGGTTGTATCGAACCCCCATGCTCCAGAGATTGACCTCCGCAATGAATTCCGTTTTTGTGTTGTTCGATCGTGGGATGCAGACTTGAACGTTGTTCTTCAGTCGGGGAATCTGGACTGTGGGATAGCCTTTGCCTGTCAATCTGTTAGCGATGCGGCCTGGTCGAACCGAGCTTCTTGCCTTCAACGTCAGCTTTGTCAAGAGGTCGGACTTGGTCCGACTTCATGTCAAGCACTGCTACTGGTTTTCCGTGGTATCCCATATTAGAAGTTCTTTTAAGAAGTGATGATTTGGATTAAAGATACTGGAATGAATAGATATGGATTGTTTTCGTTGTTCTGGCGCCTCTGGCCTTGATGGCGAGTACGTTGGTCTTGTGGGCAAGGTCTTCAAATGAGTTCTTTGTGAAAAGCGGGGGAAGCGCTATTCAAATACACAAAAAGGATTTATCACATTTGAGACATCGGGGCTGTTCGGACCAAGACAGTGGCGTTGCTCAGCAGGTAGCCGTCTTTGTGACTACCAAACATCTGGCATGCCCCCCTTCAACTGGCAACAAGAACACTGCAAATTTGGGCAACTCGGGCGGTGGCATTTTATCCGCTGATGGCTGCGTTCAATGCTCACGACTGGAAACCCGACTCAGGCAGTTGGCCACCACATGACACAGTAGGCTGGCCTGTGTAACTCGAGGCCTTGCTTGTCATTCGTTGGAGATAGGACTTTTGCGGAAGTGCGCAGTTGCGTATGTCATCGGCAAAATTTGGGGTCTAATCACTCAGCCGCCCCAGCCATCCCTTGGTCCTTGGTAAAAGTTGCCCTAACTTGGGATGCAGGTCGCCGTTTTTGTGATTTCGAGTTCCGTGACGCATTGGTGAGGCCATTTTTATTGCTGACTTGTGCGACTGTGACAACGCCACGAAGATTACAGGAACTCAGCTCTCTTCTTTAGAAGGGTCGCAACCACTTGACTATGTTATTGTTTTCTAAATGCAATCACTTGATCTTATATGGTCGAGATTGGCGCCACATTTTCGCCTTTGTTCTTGGTAGGCATTCCATGGCTCAGCGTGGGCTGATCTCACTATGACACGTTGACCTGGAGGAACAGAACTCCAGACCCAGTGACTCAAACGCTTGGGAGTCATAATCACGACGGTGAAATGACAGGCAAAAAACGGAAACAGATCAAGCTGTTATTCAGGCCATTTTGCCAGTCTCATCACCCAATTGGTCACGGGTTCAACCCGAAACGCGTTCAGTTGCGTGTTGCTTCTACCAGTATCCGCCAGACGGTTTCCCTCGACTTATCACTGTATGGCTGATTGGACGACTGCCAAGGAGACAATTTAAAACGGGGACGTCTAGCCTAAGTCTCTGAGGGGTATATAATGCCGTGTGCGGTGTCACGGATCTCTGTTACTGATTTTAATTGGGGGTTTTCAGTGTGTTGACTTGATATGTCTCCATGGAGATGCTGTAAACTTTAACTATCGATCAATGAGGTCACGGAAGGGTTTGAAGTGCAATTTTAAAGAGTAAGTTTCGTTGAAGAAGTATAGATATTAAGACTAGAAAATATTATGAGTACGTGAGCCAACCATGCCAAGCATTCCTCATGCGCTCCGCCCTGTCTACTGTCAAATATGCGGAGTTCGCAAGTCTCTGTTGCAACTCTTTGAACTTGGCAGTAGGTGCCCCCTTCTCAAACAACATATCTAACTCAAGATACGACAGACCCTTGGTCTCAGGCAGACGGAAATAACAGTAGATGAGACAAAGGAAAGCTGTACCGGCGTAGACAAAGCATGATTTTCCTTGCATATTCCAAGCAGTAGGGTTAAGCATCTGGGGAACGATGACGTTGTTGATGATCATGAAGATGTTGTAGACAACTCGAGCCAAAGCGATAGTCTTAACGCGGAGACGGGTAGAGGGGATCTCGGCGACGATGACGTAGCATGTTGGGCCGATACTGAGGTTGTACAGGAAGGTTGTTGTGATGAGAATAGCTCCAAGGGACCAGTTGAGGCCCTTTTGGCCATCGAGAACGACGGAGAGAATACCACCAAGGGTGAGCATAACGACAGCAGCGACAAGGCCAGTGAGGTACAACTTGCGACGACCGATATGAGACAGGAGGAACCAAGAGATCATGCCTCCCACCAAGGCCATACCATACATGCCAGTGGACATGCTGAAGGACTTGGAAGAGTCAAAGCCGGCTTGCTCGAGGAAGTAGGGAGCGTAACCAGTCAAGATCCAACCGCACAGAGCCTGCACAGACCAAACCATGCAGCAAATCTCAGTTCGTCGAAGGTTGGCACCCTTGAACAAATCAAGATAGCTCGAACCGCCGTAGTTGAGCTTACGTTCGATACGGTTAGTATGCTCCATGACAGCGATGGTGTCATCTATATCGAGCTGAGATTGTTTAGTCAAGCGCTGCAGAGCATGGCGCGCTTCGACCTTGCGCTCACGACGGATGAGCCACCATGGGCTTTCTGGGGCAAAGGTGATGCCGATGAGGAGAGGGATGGCGAAGGCCCATTGAAGAGCGAAGGGGATACGGTAAGACCACTCTGAGTTGTTGTGGACGAGAGACTTGAGGATACCAGTGCCGAGAAGTTGACCGATGACCCAGCACATGTTGGTCATGCTGAGAAGACAGGCACGGATGGCTGAGGGGACAACCTCGGCGGCGTATGTAGCTGCGAGTGTTTGGATGACACCCCATGAGATACCTGAGTGATGGTTAGTCTTGAACACCAAAGTGAATGATGATTGAGATGTGATGAGTGTATGAGGGGAAAGGTGAGTGAGAGACATGGACGTACCACAAAGAGCCTGAGAAGCCACCAACACAGCAATATTGTGAGCAAAGAACGCCGGGAAGACAGCAAGACACATCCAAGCAAGACTGATCAACATCATCTTCTTATAGCCAATGCTGTATGTTACCCAACCGTGAAGCAACAGACCAAGGACCTCGCATGCAATAGCCGAGACCTGAAGCGCCGTCTGCCATAGCGGCGAGATCTCATAAATCGGTCCATTCGGCGTATCGAACTCCTCGCCATATCGTCGTCGAAATGCAGGAAATGCGACGAATCCCGCGACAAGACTCTTATCGTAGCCCTCCATAACAACAGTGAGGAAGAGCAACAGCGACCAGAAGATGGCTTTGGGGAATTGCTTGCAGCATCCCAAGATGGTCATCTCTTTCTCATTGTTCAGCGCGCGACGGACTTTCTCGCCCGTGTCGTCGGAGCTGTGCGACCCGCGGGGAAGCCATAGTACCTCGATGGCATTTTTATTGGGGTGGTTGTCTGGTAGGTCAAACGTCGGGTCTGGGATGGGAGCGTTGGTCTGGTGGTCTGGATCGTGTACTTTTGTCTCGATCTCTGTGACGCGGAGGATGCCGGACTTTGCTTGTACTGGCAGCAGGACTATCTCGTCCTTGCTGCTACCATTGTCCGAGGCTGCTTTACCAGAGCCGAACATGGTGATTTAATTGTTTGAGAAGAAGATGATTCAGAAGAAAGGAATGGATGCCTTTCGGCGGAGTCATGAATGAATGATCGGCATGGTCCTGGGGTTACATCCTTCCAACGGGCCCTGACATGGCATATATAGGATCGGCGCTGTCGAGTCCAGTCCAGTCCCCCCTCCCCCTCGCTTGGGTATTTTGGTTACAGTGCATCAATCAGTTTGAACGTCGACTCGACTCGACTGGGGAAAGTGAATCAGACCCATGCACCCCAGGTTCTGGTAGCTTGCAACTCTGCTTCTATCACGGCCTCACTCTCGGCGTTTCTCACATTTTGGCGGCTTGCGGAGGTGGAGACCTTGGTTCAAATACTGGAGAAAAAAGTCGGATGAGAGAGGGTACGCTAGCTGGGCATTTGCCCTATTGGGTCTAAACATCCGATCATTTGCGGGTGAGCGTTGCAGAAACTCAATGAAGAAGGAAAAAGGCATTCATGGTTGCAGAGATATATCCCACGTGGTATTCCAGAAGCTTTGACAACAAACGGCGATCTTCACGATGCGGCTCAAGATGGAGGCCGTTTGAGAGTGATTAGAAATGCCGATCTGGGACGGAGACTAGGGGAGCTGCCGTACCGTACACGTTGATTTGTCTTACCTGCTTTGCCTCGACCTGCAAGGGATCCTAGATGAGCCATTGGATGGTTAATTGTGACCAAATAGTCATCATCCTTCGCGTCACAACAAGCCAGACTAAGAATTTCTAGTGTATGCCGCTCAGTCTGGGTACCTACCTCTTCCGGCCACTCGTGTGTCATCCAAGGCAATTCTTTAGGTAAGAACTAGATCCAAAGTAAATTATGTAGAGCCTCATTTGAACAAATCTCCAGACTAACTAGACTTTAGTTTGCGCCGCGAGTTTTTCTCGTACCAACGCCCGCGTCTCACCATTCAAGTCGCTAAAGAAATGCGTGGCCGACTTTAGCCGGATCCACTCTTCTCCATGGGGAACTCGTGCGGGGATTGGCTCGGAAGTATGGAAGTTCTTTCTAGCGCTGGCCCCCTTATTACGTATTGGGACTTGTGGCTGCGGAATTTGCTGTCGTTGGTATTTCTCCTTGGAACAACAGCTCCGAGGGAGCATATTAGGCCAAGATCAGCCTTACTCGTGTCCCTCGCGACTTTGGCCGGATGGGTAGCTAGCAGAATGAATAGTTCAGGGCCTAGACGAGGAATGGGCTCTTGGATCATAAGGCTGAGCGTTTGCTTTTGATTTTCATTCCATGCCCTGTTTACCCCTTTCACCTAATACCCCTGCGTCTTGTCATGTCATGCACACTCCAGCTGAAGGACTAAGCTCAATCTGACAGGCAAGCCAGGGGTAATCAAGAGAGCATGCAGCAGCTTGACTCTTGTTCAAAATTGACCTGCTTCATCCGAGGTTAGACGACGACATATGATTCCCACCATATCCACCGGCCCCCCTTTTAAACCCATTCATCTTCCCCGAGTCTAGAATTACTCTGGTTTCCAATATTCTCCGTAGCTTTTTCAGCTTTTAGCTCTCGTGACGCAGAGTCAAAGCACGAGTAGTTTGATCACCGGGTATTTTGGTTAAAGAACATGCCAAATCGAGTAACGGCTCCGTGTCACTGCTTGGGCTATGAGTTTTGGTTATCTAAGAGGTGATCTGACATCAATTCTCTGCGGGCGGACTAACCGTCAACAGGGTATGTTGCCGCCTCGCCGGGCGTCTGGGACTGACGATCCTCGGATTGTATCGGCTCCGTCGGGAAAGGACCCTCAAAATGACATGCATACACTGAATCACGATACCTTCATGTGATTTTTGCTCAGAATTTCAGTGAAAGTGATTACCTAAGGGCTGTCACGTCAATGCATAGTCCTGCATCACAATGGTTGTACCTGTTATCACATATTCTATGCATGTTCTACGCAAACCAAACCCGTTGAGGCTTTTGAGTTTAGCTACTGCAGGTTTCTCTGCTGGGATTGGTGATGCAATGTGACAGGCCGTTCAACGGCGTGATACATGGCATCCTTCCTCGGTGCGCCCCCGGTCGATATTTAACCTGATATCATCCTTTCGCGACCTTCTCCTGACTTTCTTGCCTTTGGTTAAGGACTAGCATACCACTATGACGGTGGACAATTTTTTCATTTGCAGCACTACCCTGTAGCTTCAGGCGATGTGAATATTATGTGCTGAAGACTATACGGCTCCTACTCTGGCATGACTCGACGAATCCCAAGAGACTTCTTCAGCGAATGAATGTTGCAGTACTGAATGCGTCTAATCAAACTCTATTTGTCGTTCCGCTGATAGCTCCCGCTCGTGATTGATTCACCTGGGTAGCCTCAAATCTTGATTGATTGCTTCACGCAAAATCATAACTACCGAACCAGCACCTTGTCAAATCGTAGAGATCGACAATGTTCTAATTAATAATTGGTTTATTAAGTTTCACCAAGAAAAAAGAAACGGTTTTAATTTTAGCGGCAATTAATTGTAATCTTCTCAATATCTTGGTGCTACAGTGTCGCTCTGCGTCGTCGCCAATTGCGCGCATGCCAAATAAATAAATGCAAGCTATAATACTACCCCGGATCCCCCGGAATTCTTCTCCTCATTTCCATTCTAATTGAGAATCGATGGCTGAATGACGGGTGCTAGTGGTGTCGCTGGCATTCGGCCCTTCTTGGCCAATATTGAGGGGAAATAAAGTTGGTGATGGAACTGGGGTTGGGCTAACGCGGTAGAGGCACCGTAGAACGATGAGGCGGGGAACTATCGAATCTGGGGTCGATATGATTGGGAAAATAGGTTATGGTGTTGAGGATGGTGTATTGAATCGGCGCGAATGGCCATCATGAAAGAGTCATGAGATTATAGTATGTACGCCAAGGCTTGGCTTGGAAGACGCGCGACGCGATACGCGCTGGAAATGAATGTTATCGATAAGGACAATGTTATCAGTGCTAAGTTGAGGATACCCGATACCGTGATAACAAACAGCAATCAAAGCTGTATATCGTTTCATCAATATCTGTTTGACCGGCAGCTAGTACTCGCTGCCCCATAGTCTAGTAGAACATTAAATACAAGACATAACACTATTATTCACTTTCAGAGAACCTTAGTCAAGTGCTCTACCCTACAGTTTCAACAAAAGACTATCCTATCTTATGATGCTGAGTCGTTTTGCGTCGTGAGAGGGAATCAACTATTTCGACCTTCCTACATAAGCAAAAACGAATCAGTGCCACCACCGAAAACCGTCATGCTCTCGACACCAAGATAGAGTTGAAACATTGTTATGTCTATCAAGAGCCGTGTGCGCAACCAAATGTTCGACCGTGGATGTTGGTTTTACAGATGTCTATCACTGAGTTTTATAATTTCTTACTATATAAAGCGCTTAGATAACTGTTGACTGTTCCAAGCATAAACGTATCAACCTATATTTCTCTACATGCAACATGACTTATACTCGTGCGCCATATGTAGCGCCTTATGCCCCCCCGGAAGAAAGTGGTATTAGACCACCTCATGGTTGGAATGAGGAGCCAGCCAATCAACCCCCTCATGGAAACACTTTCTACCCTCCAGTCGACCCTCAACTGAGCTATCCTAACCACCCTCAACCTTCTGGTTTCCAATCGTATAACTCGCAAGCTGCCGGTAGTCACTCTACTGGAGCCCCCGTTCTCAACTATCAGACCCTCCCACCAAACCCCTTTAGCCCTCAGCTTCAAACACATCAACCTAATCTATTCAGCCCGCAGTATAATGACCCAGGCTCCAGTAGTGCTTATGCCTATCGTAGTTCTACACTTCTCAATCCGTTTTCCAGCCTAGAAGTGTCTTACGGCACCCAAAATCATGATACGGATCTACAACTGATATATCCGTTTGTTGAACAAAATGTTAATACCTGGCTACAGAATGATGGAGATCTTGGAAACTGGACCTACGACGGCCAACACCATGGCGAACAGTCAAGCTACACTCCGAACAATCAACAGTTTGCCCCGTACATCCATCTTTCTGAACTCCAGGAATCTTATGCAAACGAACCCCAAGGCTTACAAGGGTTTGACAACAGCTATAATACTGATCAATACAGTGCTCAAGGAGTCCATAGCGCTTTGAATATACCTCCAGGAGCCATAGAATATCGGCGATGGGGAATGAGGGGAAACGCACCCCTGAGAGTATATTGCATTAACTGCAGAGCACCTCTGCCCATATTCGGGATACGCTGTGAAGATTGCGAGCAGCGCCGACAAAATGACGCTCAAGCTTTTCAGCTAGAGTTTTGCCTACTATGCACAGCCGACGTCAACGATCCCGGCAATCTGATGTGTCCGGAGCATATGAATACCATGCAAGCATTCAACGGTGATGAGAAGGCCATTCTTAGGGAGAAGCACATATGTAACCAGTGCTATAAACGGGGTGCTGGCTCTCTCAAGCGATGTGGGAATTGCTATGGACAGGTTTATAACCCAAGACATCGTTTTCGGCAACAAGGACTGTGTCGGTGCGGACAAGAGCGTATGCCTGGGTAACGCCAGTGCCAAGGTTGTGCCAATGCTTCCAGGGCGTCGCAGAGGAGAAGAAGAGAGGCAGAAATATGAGGAGTCGCGAGAGGTTCGTCAAGGAAAGGTCTCACAATAGAAAAATAGAACACCCGGTAGAAACACATCAAATGAGCTAATTTGATACTTCTGCAAGAAGGATTTCCAAAATCTGTCTCAATGTTTAAAGCCATGACTGTAGATATGGTTGTTTTATACCCAAGTGAAGTGTAGAAGGATATGCTTACCGAGCTTACTTAAACCGTATCTATTGATAAAGTTGGATCCTTATTGTGGTGAACAAATAGAAAAAAGTTACAAGAACAATGGGATTGACATTATGATCAATGCTATCCAGATACCGAAAGAGGGTGCGTGAGATTCCCTTGCTGGCGGAAATATCACCAAACTTGAGGGCAACAGATGATAAGCACTGAATTATGTCAGGCTCTTCATTTACGGTACTTGGGTTTCACAGCGGAGCATCCAGCAATGATAGACTGGTCAAGAACAGTCGATGTTAATCAGCATGGTGATAGCACTGATATCTTGCCTTTGGAGGGACACGGAATCAGAAGCTCAGAAAGCTCAGCTTGTGTGTCCAACAACTGCTGTTGCTGTCTTGCGACAGTGAGATAGAGAGCATCAACAACAATTTCACTGATACATGGGGGAAGATTAAGTGCATCAGAGCAGGCTGTGTAGCTGCCAGTAATGAGCAAGGTAAGGGAGCATTTGTGATATATAATAGTGAGTCCCCTGACCTGAACAGGTGCATCCAGAACAACAACACAAACGCAAGAAACACTCGAATCGCCCTCCTTCATACACAGAAATTAAGAAAGTTACCAATATATCGAACATCAACACAATGTCGCATAACAATGATGAGCAGGCTCGCCGAGCTCAAGCTGCGCAGAACAATCAGTGGGCCAGCAACAGCAGCCAGCCCCAAAACTTTGCTCCCTACCAAACAGGCACTTACTCGGATCCAAATGAGCCCATAATCCACACAACAGGAACCGTTCCAATGAATACTTTGAACAGCCCTAGTAGTCATTCCAGACCCGTGCTACCATATGACCCAACGCGTCAGAGTTCAACCGCTCATTATCCCAGTGGACGAGAAAATTTGCTTAGAACGACTTTGGTTAGGGCGGCTTATGGCCAAGGAGAACCCTCACGAGAACCTCTAGGTGTTGGCTTTGGTGCACAGCATCCCAACTACTATGCGCAAGCCGCTCCCTATCCAGGACCTGGACCCAGTGGCAGTCAAACAGCGCAAACGCATCCACATGGTCTAATGTCCGATTCTGCAGATCCCCAAAGCGCTTTATCCGACAGGGACGCAGAAAGGCTTAGGGCAAAAGCAAAGAGAGAAGAAAAAATCAGCAAAGGGGAATGCCCGAATGACAAAAATCCCCTTGCCCCAGGGAAGAGTAAATGTGAGAGGTGCGCGGAAACGGACAAAAGGTCCTCGGCTGCGCGCCGACAGAGAGTAATAGACAGAGGCTTATACTATATGTGCAGAGAGACGCCTGGCGTGGCTGAAGGCAAAAAGTGTAAAAACTGCATCGATGATGCTGCCGCTAAGTATCAATCAAGAAAGTAGCTCGGGGTATGGTTGGTCCTGATGGCAAGATTTTAGGAATATCGTTAGGCACAGGGGCACTTCTTCAACAGTCTTTATATCCTCTTAATTGAATCAGATATTTTCACGATCGATAGATGACTCAGAAATTGTCAAAGCGTGAGGAATTGCAGTTGGGCGGGTGATATAAGCATCAGCTGCCAGACTTATGTGCTCAAGACTCATAAACACAATTCATGGAATAAACTAACCACCCACACAATTACCCATTGTGAATAATTCATTGGACAAATCAACAACAAGAGCCACATGTTGCCATGCACGAGAGGACTGCTAAGTACTGGAAAATGCTAACCCGCGGTTTGTCAGTCAAGACAAAACGATTAAGAGGCGAGGAAGTGACGTGCATGAACAAGAGCAGTTTATCGACACTCAATCACCACCATGAATCTTCAATCACCAGATCAGTCAGATTTTGACTGCTATGACAAGTAGTTGTTTGGACGGCTCTTCGCTTACGAAGATTAGCGGTCAGAATGTACATATGCTCACAGACGGCTCACTTGAAATGCTGGGACATGAGCATTCACATGACAATATATACTTCTTACTAAGACAAAAGAACTCGCTACATAGCCATAAGAATCGCGTACTTCAACATGACTTCGAACAAAGAATACCGCTATGGCCAAGGAAGCCAAGACAAGGGCAAGGGGAAATAGCCAATCGCTTTCCCAACCCTCCGGAGCCGAATCAGAACTACCCACAGCCGCAAATGCCATACCAATGGCCTACTCCAGTGGTCACAAATGACAACACCGATGATCCCGGTACGTCTGATCAAACACCGGGGCCTCCCACTGCCCCATCGTGGTACATTCTAACTTTATTCCAAGAACGCTTTTGCTTAGGGTGCCTGCGAGTTCTGAAACGCCCTCTGTCCGGACCAACTTGTATCAGTTGTGATAGGGTCCCCTGCCTTCAAGCAAGCGGAGCCATGGACCATCCACCAAACCGTTACTGCATCGTTTGTGCCAAACGCACTATGTATCCTGCAATCGTGTGAAAAGAGCACTACGAGAAACAAGACTCTATGAGAGACTTTGAGATCGATACAATTAGGGCACTTCCAGCAATGTGCAATCAGTGTGGCAAATGTGAAAAGGAATCTTCTGAGAAAGAGTTTCGCAACAGGTGCGAACAGGCACGGAGAATCGAATATCATCAAGCGAGGTTGGCGCAGGAACAAGTCCTGAAAGGTCGATTTCCTAAGTATAATACTCAGCGTCTTCAGAGGATAGGTTAAGACGCCAGGCTACAGATGGGATGTTCATCGGGATACCCCGGAGCTAGGTGATTGGAAGAACACGACGGCGAAATGTGAAGCACATATAGCACAGCTACCGTTACTATTGATACGAAGCACACTGATAATATAAAGGCCACAGGGCTCTGATGCAGTGAATTGATTTCGCGAATGAATCCATATCGTCTTTGCCCTGCGACACCATGCCAGAGTCCGTTTCCTAGCGAGGACTCTCTCTAGCCATGTAGCCAACAGGGGAAATTCAACCAGTCACTGCACATCATGAGCGGGTGACTGACAGGGCTTCTGCGAATGACACCAGAGGAAGAGAAAAAGCTCAAATTGAGCTGCATCAGTAGTTGAGATCCATGAAAAGGGATAATTCTGGGCTTACAGTTCCATGCATTGAATATCTACTTACGGACTGTGGCATAACGCCTTGTTCTCTAGCCGAATTTGATCAACTCCCCAAAGATCCAGTACTTGAGGCCCGCTATCAGCATATCCCAGTGCAACCCTGCCATTTAGTGGATGATTGCTTTAACTTATACATCACTACATCGTCATGGCCCACAACTGATGCTCCGATATGAGTGGAGACTCGATGAAGATATTTCCCTAAAGACAGGGCCCGGTTCCCGGTTACCATGATCCCAAGGAAGTAATCTCGATCTTCAAACTCTATATTCTTACTGCCATCAACATGACTGATTACACTGAAGCTAAAGTCTGGGTCTTCGCCAACAAGACAGAGGGAACACCAACAATAGACGGCCCAAACCCGACATTTCGACTAGATACTATCCAGCTTCCATCTCTCAAAGAAGAACAAATTCTGGTCAAGGTCCTTTACATCTCCAACGATGCAGGCCTTCGTACTTTCATCGGCTGCACCGTGGATGAGGACAGGATGTACGTCCCTCCCATCAAGATCGGCGACCCCATGCATTCTGGAGTGATCGGCGAAGTCCTCGAGTCCAACTCCGCACGTTTCAAACCCGGTGACTTGGTAATGGAACCGTATCGATCCTGGTGGGGCGACAAGATCATCCTCGACACCGATACAGTGCAACACATTGCCCCTCTACCAAATAACCACTCTATCACGCATTATCTCGGTGCATTCGGAGGATCCGGTCTGGCAGGTTATGTCGGAATCTTGCATATCGCGCAAGCTAAACCTGAGCACACGATAGTTGTGTCCGCTGCAGCTGGAGCAACAGGGTCCATCGTGGTGCAGACCGCCGTCAAGCTACTTGGTGCCAAGCGTGTAGTAGGCATCGCAGGCGGTGAAGAAAAGTGTGCATGGGTCAGAGATTATCTCGCTGCTCACGCATGCGTTGACTACAAAAGCCCTACGTTTGTGCAGGATCTGAAGGAGGCGACACCAGATGAAGTTGATATCTACTTTGATAATGTCGGTGGAGCGGTTTTGGATGGTGTCCTCACGAGGATGAAGAAGTTTGGAACGATTGCAGTTTGTGGAGCGGTTAGTACCTACAACTCGGATAGGCCGACTATGTTGAAGAATTGGTTTGAGATCATCTCCCAGAGGTTGACGCTGAAGGGGTTCTTTCTCTTTGATCATATGGATAAAATTCCTGATGGGATGGAGCAGCTCATCAAGGCGGCGGTTGATGGACGAATCAATGTTGATATTGAGAATATCGTCCCTGCGAGGATTGAGGACATGCCTAGGGCTTGGATAGATGTTTACAATGGTGGAAACAAGGGCAAGTCTATCACCAAGCTTATTTAGCCAATGCGTATACCGTGTTCACAACCCCTGATGCAAAAATCACAGAAAAATAACGAACTCCTGAGAATGTAAATTGAACAGTGACTATATTTTCAATACAAAAGTCAGGGTATAGAATGTAGAAGAAGATAAATACAACAAAGTAAATACACATGCCTGATCAGTTTAATCCATGCTCCTGAAGAATCTTGACCAGTTTCATCTTGTCGTCATCATCAACCTCTACAAAAACCTCAACATACTCACAAGGCGAGTACTGCATGCCCGTTTTATCCGTGTACAAGTACTTATCTCTATTTCCAATACCCCTTGCATTCAGCACGTTCAACATAGCCATGGTAACCTGGCTCCCATTCTCCAGCGCAAGATGCAAAGGAAGCTTCTGCCGGTACCTCCAACTGGACAATGTCTTTGGGATCAGAATCTTGATGGTCTCTTCTAGGC